TAATAATAATAATAATAATAATAATAATAATAATAATAATAATAATAATAATAATAATAATAATAATAATAATAATAATAATAATAATAATAATAATAATAATAATAATAATAATAATAATAATAATAATAATAATAATAATAATAATAATAATAATAATAATAATAATAATAATAATAATAATAATAATAATAATAATAATAATAATAATAATAATAATAATAATAAGATGAAGAATAATAATAATAATAACAATAATAATAATAATAATAATAAATAATAAATAATAATAATAGAAAACTATAAAACATGCCTATTCTCGTAGACATGTAACTTTATCATCTATCTGTTACAGTATCACTGATAGTGTTCTCCAGAAGTTAATTCATCATTATTTATTTATTTTTTCATTACTATTACTTTTTAATATTATTGTTAAAATTAGCTAGTCAAAATGTGATATTTAAGAAATATATTAAATTTTTTGCTATTAATAACAAATGAATTTTTTCTTCGTTCCATTTTGAAGAAAAATAAATTTTTATTGGTTAAATCGGAATTGAATTGTTGAAATGTGATCTATGCAAAATTGGAATTCAATTATAGTAATTTAATCAAATTACAAATGCCATTCTGATGTTTTTTCTTTTTTTTTTTTTTTTTTTTTGGTAGTAATAGATAGTTATGTTCAAGTTAATACACAATTATAATTAAATTACATTAAATGAGATAATTTTGTTTTAAGTAATATTTGCTTATTTAAATCATTTTTCATTTTTTGTAATTACCGTAATTCATTTTTAATTGTTTAAAATTTTCATTTCATTTCTGATTTTGCAAAAAAAAAATTTGTTTGAAGTACAAATTAATAATTGTAAATGTTTATGCGAATTTGTAAAATGTTTATAATGTTGAAAATTTTCGAAAATTTAAACAAAACATTAAAAATTTTTAATTGAAAACATTAAAAAATTGTATAATGTTGAAAATTTTCGTTTTTGCTAAATAAGGTTGAATGGATTGACATGGTATGAAATTAAATAATTGAGTAATACTAATGAATTGATGATTAATTAAAAACTTAAAAATGAACTTATATATTTCCTCTGCATTGTAGAAAAATAAGTAATAAAAATTGTAGTAATAAACTAATAAAGTATACATTGTTAGTCTAGTTTTTAATTTTAATTAGCAATAGTCATTAATCAGTTTCATTTTATTTTATATGAAATGAATAAAGATTGCAATTGAATGAAAATTGTTAATTGTTATTATCAATTTATTGTTATGAATATTTACAAATAATTGAAATAATTGAATATATTTGATTACAATTCAATATCATTTCGTATTTTTAAGATATTTTTGCTATCAATCACTTTTACCAACTCTTGATAGTAATAAGTGATTTTTAATTCTATTGAATAATTCCTTTGCATTTATCACTTTGTCAATTCGTTATTATTATTATTATTATTATCACTAGGTTGTTGCTATCAATTAATTACACTTATCATATCAATATTATCATTTTATCGTTTAAATATTCTTACTAAACACTAAAAAAAAAAATTATAATAGCTTCAGGTTATTCATATATTATTGTTTTATGCTTAATTAACACATTTTAATTATTTATGTTAACATTTAAATATGTAATTTTAAAAAATTATCAAACTTAACAAATCAAAGTATCAATTAAAATTAGTATGCTTAATAATTATTTGTCAAAAAAAAAAGATTATTTTAGCAATGAATGCTATTATATTATCCATCATATTAGCTTTAATTAGCAATGCTAATGGTTTTATAATGCGTAAACAATCATTTGAAATTCATGGACAATTTATGTGCGGTGAAAAACCATTACATCGAGCAGCAATTGAATTATGGGATGATGAACGATCATTGTTAAAATCGATAATATATATTTTAATGCAAAGAAGAGGTAACATAAATTTATTGATTATTTTATATCATATTTTATAGCTTACTTTTAATATGATAATAAAATTTGCTAGTATAATTGTTATTTTAAATTCAAAAGAAACAGGAAAAAAAAGTAATAATTTTAGGAAATTATCAAATTTATCAAATATTAATATTTTGCATATT